AGTTACAGAGTGAGGCTTTGAGAGAGTAGAGCAAGTTTGGGAGGTTTCCAACCGAGGCTTCAAGATTTGGCTTGGGAAAAGGGAAGAACAGAAGTAATAGGAGGCTAGATAGTGTTGCAGTGGTTGCCGGAAGTTAGGACGACGGCGATAAAGTTTTGAGTCCAAAACTACAGGCAAGTTCTTATCTTCCTCCTTCCTTTTAGCTTGTGTTCTGTGCACCTAGACAGTCTCTAGGAGATTAATTGGCCTTAAACTGAACCATGCATGTTTTATATATGTTTTACTTGATCGTTTTATCTGTGAGATTTTATTTACAAAACAATTATAGCATGTATGTTTTCCTTGTCTCTGTTTTGGCATGAAACGTTCCACTGTTTTACTTTTGGTTTTGAACCTTACTGTGATGAACCAAGATCTGAATGGATATTAGATGTAATTTAAGTCCTTTAAATTCAAATTTAAAGGAAGAACAAATGAGTTGGAAGGGAACTGTTGTGGTAAATCCATTTCAGTTTGGTTTTAAAGTATATGCAGTTCAGTAGCCATTTTAATTCAAATGTAATCCTTGTAATTGATTACTGTAATTAAATTAATAGGAAGCTACTGGATGTTAATTAAACTTCGAAAATTAGTTTTAGAGACCAATAGTATGTTAGGACTGGATCGGAGATGGAGAAGATGAGCTGAAACGGAGCAAAGACTGAACGGGAGGCTCTCAAGGGGGAGAGAGCCGGCTCTGGAAAGCAAGAGCCGGCTTTCCTTCAACAAGAGCCGGCTCCAAGGGAATTTGGAGCCGACTCCAAGTGAGAAAGAGCCTGCTCTTTCATTTTAGAGCAGGCTCCAACCTTTTATAAGTTCTGAAATTTGTTTTCACGGCACTGTTTGATACTTTTGACACTATTTGAGCATTTGAATGGTTCTGATGGTTTGTAGGGACTTCACAGAGGGCTTAAAGGGTTAGTTTTAAATAATATTAAACCTCTTGTTGTATGGTTTAAGTCTCTGTTATAAAGGAGGAAGCGGTGTAAAAATATACAACCGTGCATGCTATTAAAAAAAGAAAGGAACTGAATGGCTTGATTAAATTTCAGAAATTTAACGAAACTTCACAGAGGGATTTAATAGTTAATTTAGGGTGTAATTAAAACCTTGAATTGATTTAATTTGATCTATGGGAAAAACATTATAAAATTGATAAATTTTCTACGCTGATAACGGATGGAGGAAGGATTAGTTGCTTGATTAAATTTTATCAATTTAAGGAGATCCAGTATCCTAATAAAACTTATTTTTATTAGGGTCATTGTTATATTAAATTTGAACTATGCATGGTTTGGATGTTAATGGTTAGAATATTAAATTCTTTGATGCAAATACATAGATTAATATTGAATTTTAATTGCTAGATTGTTAATCTTCTTTCTGCAATTATTTGGACAGTGGTTTTGGACTGTAGATTACTTGTTCATTATGTATACATTGTAATTTACCTGGATATGGAGGATGGTATGTACCGGTATGGGACGGTGACATACTAGGAACGGTTTAGCTCCAAACACCTAAACCTAACCTAACGGATTTAAGGAATGGATTTATAAATATTGAATCCTAATTGTGACTAAGTCAGATCAGCTGTAACCAAGTTGGATGACTTCCTGGATTAATGGATTGTAGTTAAGTTACATCAACTGAATAAGTTGAGTGACTAACTGGTTGGTTTATTGTATGTCAGTTTAACAAATAGTTGAACTACATACCCTGGATTTTGATGAATTTTATATAGATGTTTATGGTACCACGAGCTGAGCTTGAGTCTCAAACTCATTGGTTAGGGTGCGTATATGCGGTGGATGCGTAGCTGGATATAATAGGTTGAGGTGTACCCTGTTAGGTCTAGGTACTCATGCCCACCTTTGGGTGCGTATTCGCATGTTGCCTTCTATTCAGGTTGAGACCCCTATTATAGACTAATGAATGTCCCTTAGTGTGGATATATTTATACGTATGGACTAGATAGATATTGCGAGGTGTCTACGGTGTATCTGCGTATCGGGTCACTGTATGGATTGCAGTTAGATTAGAACTTGCTCGTGGATCTGACCCACTCCTTTATTATTTTTTTCAGGTATAGGACGGTTCCAGCCTTAGAGCTTGATCGTGCTTGTCAAGGACAGTCCCACATTCATCTGATTACGTAGAACTTCTCTCGATGTTTCTAGCATTATCTATTTTCAGTTTTCAGTTTCAGTTGAACTTTTGGTTAGGGGTCCACCAGTGGATTCCCAAGTTGTAACCTTGAAGTTTTGGAGGATTGGAGTTTTATTTTTCAGTTATGCATGGAGGGTTTTTTAATTAAACGTTCTTTTAATTTTGTTCCATCTTTATTATTTCATTTTGTCATCTGTGTTCACTTTGAAATACTTTAATTGTTTGATATTCCCTCGGGTTTGGGCCTGGGCCTGATCAACCCGTGTCTCGGATCCGAGGGGTATCACAAGCGCAGACTATGAGAAGATGATGTGGGATTATCTGGTGTAGCGTAGACCATGAGAAGATGGTGCACTCGCTGATCTGGACCTTAGATATATTCTAGTCAACAGAAAATAATCCAGTGTGGGCGTGTTCATTTGTGCACGGATTTGTAACCATTGGATGCGCCATAAAGGAAGTGATGGATTCAGTGTGATGAGCTTATAGTAGTTGAAAGACTCCAACCGATAAGAACGCGCCAGCACACATAAAGCTTGGATCTAGCGCGTGGGAAATCCATGTTGGCCTGTTTCGATACTTGAAATTGAAACTGTCATAACTCAGTCATTTTAAATCGAAATTGGATAATTCTTGAACTCAAATTTAAGGATTTTTCGTCTTCTATTCAATGGTACCAATTTCATTATCAGATTCCCATCATACTAGGAGATATTTACGTTTTAGTAAGGCAGTGTCGAAAAATTATTTAAACCAAGGGAGTATTTATGGGAAACATTTGTAACGATATTTAGTAGCCATTTAATTTGCATAAATATAATTAAATTAATATATTGGTGATGGAATGAGGTATCTATATATACATATTTATTTATACATGTGTATATCTGGTTTAATTAATTTATGAGTTGTATGGATGGACGTGTGTGTGTGTGTGTGTGTGTGTGTGTGTATAATTATTGATATATATGTATATATGATTTTAAATAATTAAGGATTATTAATAAATGTGTTATATATATATATATATATTTTAAATAATATATGTGTATATGTATATATTATTTAAGATGATTAATATTATTAGTCTTATTTGATATATCTGGATATGTTGGTTATTAAATTAATTATATGCATATGATATGCATGAAATGCCTAGGTTTTGAGAGAAATAGAGACAAGGTTTCTGGATTTTATTGGATCACTTCAGGGTACAGGGTTCAGTTGTTAGGGTTTTGGAGACGCCATTGTTGTTCTGGATTCATCAACTCATCCATCCTTGCCGCCAACACCACCATCTCTTCCTAAATAATCTCCCCTCTCTTTAAATCTCCTTTATTTCTCTCTAAATCTATTTTTCTATGTGTGCTTTATTCATGTAGAAAAAAAAGGTCAACTGTCAATAAACAATTTTCTGAAAGACAGAGAATAAATTGGGATTAGGACGAGAATAAATGATGGAGAGAGAGAGAGGACAATACAGCTAGTGATGGACCGTGGTCATTGTTTTCAGTCATTATTTGAGCGCATTTAACTAAAATACGCAAATCCATTAGTCCATTCGATGGTCCGTCACAACTTGGGACTAGAGAGGTTTACCGTTTACACTACTAGGTTTGTTTCTTAAGGGAGGTCAGTGTAATTTTTGAAATCAAAGGAGAGGTCTATGTAATTAGGACAAACCTCGGGGGAGGTCAGTGTAATTTACCCAAAAAAATACTTTACATGTAAAAGGTTTTACGTGGAGAATAACTTACACCAAAAATGTTTTACTTCAAAATGAAAAAAGTCTTGGTGCTAAAAGTTTGTTCCAACTCCTAAGCGGTTATTTTGTGTTTTGGCTTGCACATTCAATTGTCTATTTTTAAAACAAGATTTAACCCTTTCCTGTTTCACAGTTATTATATTTCAAGAGTTCTGTGGAAGTACAAAGAAGAATGCGTAAAGCTAGGAAGCGCCCCCATCAATGCCTAAAGGAGGTGGAATTGGCTGGGTTTGTTGGCCATCTTATTGACCTTGAGCTTACCCAATACTTGATTAAAAATGCCGTCATGTTGGAGAAGATTATTATTGATCGTCACTATACAAGTTTTTCAAGCAGACCACGACCATGGATGTTTGTGGAAACTGAGGAGAAACAATATGCAAAAGAACGTGCTATGGAGCTCAAAGAGAGTCTACCTGCAGGAATCGAAATGGTTATTATTTAATAGGATAATTTAAATTTTTTATTTGCAAATTTTTCTAGCCCCGAGAGTTTATTGGTAACTATTACTAATCAATGTTATATACGTCGTGGCTGGAGAATGGTAGAAGTGGTGATACTATATGCTCTGGATTTATGCTGGGATTTTCAGAAAAAAAAAGTTTCAAATGATTCAGGCAAAACAGTTGCACAGTTGTGGCCTTTTGGCTGGAGCCGCAGACAATGTGGTTGACTGCCAACTCCTCAGTGGGCAAAACCATGTTTGATAAGGTCCAGTTGCTGAAGTTGAGTTTTATTGAACCGACACTTCAATGAGAATTACGTACTATCTGAGAAAATTAACCATTTTACATTGACCCAAACAGAGCCTAAGATAATGAAGAAAAAACTCCGTTGGTACCATCTCTCCTCTCAAATGTTGTGTTCAACGACAATATTGTATTTGTATGTTCTCTCTAATGTTGAGTGTTCCATGAGAATCTTGTGGTTGCATGTTCGGTTGCTTGCTTTTTAACTAATTGTCGCAAAATCTTTTTCATGTAAAACCTTTTACACAGAACATGTTTTTTCTTTTCATTTTCTGTACTTATTTTTTTTTTTTCCTAGTTGGGACTCACACACACTGCCTCCACTGAGGTTCGAACTCCTAACCTCTGTTGGTCATTTTCTGTACTTATCATATGATAAAGGTTATACAAATGTGAATCATTTTACTTAATTTTTACATATCCTAATTTACAAACATAAACAACCTGTGTTTCTATGATTCTACCAATATTAACAAATGATGAATATAAAGAACAACAGAAATCCATGTCAAGGGCAGAACTCAAACTTTTGCACTGACAAACACCTTATAAAACCACAATTCAAACCAAAGCTCCTCAATTCCCATTACCATGCCATACTATTCTCAAATATACGAAACATGAGAGACCAAACAACCAAACCCTAGACTCTATCATAAGAAAAACCAAATTGGTTTTAGATTTTACAGATTTATAGGAAAGTAATAAGAATCCAAGAATCCAGTTACGCATAGCTAGGAAAGTTTAAGAGAATCCAGTAGCAAACACCACCCTGCCGCCTCTTAGTTCCTATCCTGTGTGGATCAATCTGCAAAAATGTTGATGAACAAATGTTTAGCCAACTGAAAATTGGTGAAGACAATAAGAAGGGAAAGAATTTTGAGAAAGTCGTAAATATGACTCGAGCAGTGTGAAAGAATAAAATGGCATAATTGACAATTTGTTTGCCTTAAAATCTACTGCTAGATACAAGTTTAAGAAAAAGTGAAAAGTTATTAAAAGTATTTTGTAAATAAGCCAAAGATTAGGTAGGTACCTAGTATGTCATGCAGCACTCTTGATCTACGGGATCAAACAGGGTAATGGCATTTTTATCAATCGAACCAATCAGTTTGTATTTGATCAGCAAATAGAGCAAAACTAAATAATTATACCCAATGTTAAGTTTTATCCTCCATCTTTTCCAAGCTATAAGCAGAGCAACAATTTCATAGGGATAACGGTTGATTAACTGAAAACCATAATGCATCTTTTGGTCTTTCAATTATGGCTGGTAATATTGAGCTTACATATCCCCAACCCTCCTGGAACAGATTAGAGAAGATTTGAAAAGGAAAGAGTGGTTTACGAGTGCAAGGAAATGAGCAACAATTTTTTCCATATAGTTGATGCTTCTCTAATATCCCCAACCCACATGTGTTTCCCATATTAGTCTTACCTATCTTAAACTTTTATTTTAGTACACATACATGTTATAGTTTCATAAATCAAAACAATATCATCAGTAAATAGCATAAAAAATGTAACTTCAAGTTGAATGGGGTTTGTTGCCCAAGTATTAACCCTAGAAAGGAGGCGTGGGAGTTGAATAGGGTCTTTAGCAAACAATGAGAAATTTTACCAATTAAAAGTTTGTTATTCAAATGTGGACCGAGAGAAGAGATTCACTCAATATAAGGGATGTATGTCAAAGTGCTCACATATAGCAAAATTCTCAAGAATATGCAATAAAGATGTAGGAGATCTTAAGCTAGTAATAGATATCTCAAGTGAGACAATCTTGTAGTAGGATGTGAGATGAGAGCTAAACTAAAATTCCATTTATTAAGCACTTAATGTTTTAGAGTATTTGGCTAAGCGTAAAATACTTTTATTAACATCTTAACGAGTGATTTTTTTTCACGGTTAAGGTTAATAAATGGATTTATTTAACTAAAGAAAATGCACATGTAAATGCAACATTTTAAAGCACTTGAAGTGATGGAAATGTAGAATAACCATTTTCTCGAACACTTGGTGTGCAACTAGATTCTAGGAAATGCAAATGCGATCAAGCATGCAACTCCCCCAAGCAAATTCAATTCCACACACAACCTACTCAATCCACAATTCCGCAACTCAATCCAAGTATTCATCCCATCCTCCGTAACAAGATATCTTAGTGCATTCATAAATAAAACAATTGATATGCAAATGGGAATTTAACAAGTAGAACTTCAACTAGCAAAATGTAAAGTGAGTTCATGACAGAAAAATCTTTGAGAACAGTCTGATTGCTAACAGAGCCAAAACCAAATTGCCTTCATCACAGACAGAAAAATCTTTGAGAACAGTCCGCCGAGTCAAGAACTTCTAAAAAGGCTATCACCAAGACAATCCTATTCCCAAGTGTACTATGAAGATAGAGATCAGGAAAGTATTTGATAGAGCCAGCTGGGACTTTATTTTGGACATCTTAAGTCACATTGGTTGCCCAAGCAAGGTCATTTACTGGATTAATATATGCCTAACTACTCCTAAGTTTTCACTCTGTTAATGGGGAATAATGTGGGCACTTTGGTAGCAACAGAGTTATAAGACAGAGTGATCCCCGATCTGATGGTGAATGCTATGCATGGGTCGATTCGTGGTTTCGAATCAAGTCTGTCCACTTGACAATGCATGTAATTTATATGTATATGAAGGGGTTTTATTTATAGCCTTATTCTGTTGTTTAGCACTAGCCGGTATCTCTGCAAGAGTCTTGCTCTTATAGCTAGGTGGTCTTGGGGTTATTCTGATCTGTTCTCAGATAACTACATCCAAATTCTGTATGGTCATGGACCCATGGGGATGACCCTTGTAAATCTGTATGTTTTTCTCCTTTAGTTAATAATCTTACTCTTTTTTTTTTTCTTTTTTCTTTTTTTAAATTAAAAAAAATGATAGTTATTTTTTTGCATACTCTTATTATTTTTATTATTGTTCCTACGCATTCAAAATACCTGCAACTACTTTTGCAAGAAAATGGTCAAATCGTTTGTGTGGGGAAGGAAAATAATAAAATGCTTCACTTGAGGAAGGTGGTGTCATGTAACAACAAAGTCCTTTCCTATCATTGAAATAAACAATATCAAAGCACTGAAATAGACAATATCAATAAGCTAAATACAAAAAAGGATTCCATTTACATTCTAAATTCGAGTGATTAAGAAGATGTCATACCAAGGTGGATGCGGAGGCGAACAGCACGATTGTTCAGTTGCTTGCGTGTCTCCGCACTGACACCGGGAGCGATGATGATCCGGCCACCGTATCCTCTGGAGTAGAAACTGCTGTCGAAGGGCCATCAAGTAATCCAGCACACAAACTCTCAATCCGATGCTCTGTATCCACCGTACGATCCGAGCTCCCCTGCTGTTCGACCTCCACCTCCGCAATCCGTATCTGGATCACGGTCTTCTTCTCCATCACAACATTCCGAGCAAAATCCGTCACATTGTAACGGCGGAGACACTGAAGAGAGGGCGGCCGAGCATACCTGTGTCTCCGGCGACGTCCGGTTCGAGGCCATATCTGAAAATGTAGAAATGAAATTAGGATTTGGGAAACTGACAGTGCGTGCCATTTATATTTCGAGCGGGAAATATTGTATCTGGCTCCTTAATCCAACGGACGTGACCAATCCACGTAGAGGAGCACAAATCGGAGGATATTAAACACGCCAAGTAGCTAACGTGAGTGTTACGTGACGTTGTCTGTAGAATACTGATACTACGGATAAAGTGATCTTATAAGAAGACTACGTCGTTTAATAAGTAACGGCGTTAGGCGACGTCTTATTTTTTTTCTCAAAAGCCCAGTTCAAAACGATGTCGTCTTGTGCCGGGCGTGTTTTATATCGTTCGGAGTGTGGTTTGTGAATCGAGAGAGAGACGAGGACGACGGTGATGGTTTGTGAATCGAGAGAGAGACGAGGACGACGGTGATGGTCAAGGGCGGAGCCAGCATGGGCCCGGGGGGCCATGCCCCCCGGGCCCATGCTGGCTCATTAATTTTAATTACAAAATGGTTTATAAATTATAAAAATTTTTAAAATGTCCTCCTAAAATAATTTTTTTTCTGAAAAATGGTCATTAATTTTCATTACACATATGTTAATAATTTATAAAAATGTGAAAAATGACCCACTGAAATAATTATTTACCCTTGAACGAATTAATTTTTATTACAAATAAATTTATAATTTATAAAATTTTATAAAAATACTCACTAAAATAATTATTTTTTAAAAAAATCTTTAATTTTTCCTTTCTTTTCATTCTTACTCCTCCTCCTCCTCCTCCCCAAAAAAAAAAAAAAAAAAAAAAAAATTATATTCCTTTATTCAAGCTATATATATTTTTTTCTCTTCAAAATTTAATAATTAAATTTATTGCTAACAGAATTTTTAAAGTGTATTTTATATTTTTATTTTTTTTAAATTATTAAATGTTATTATTTCACTATTATTACAGTCTATTTTTTGATTTATTGTCTTACATTATTATTCGTTTTAAAAAAAATATAATTTATTATTTTTAATAAGGCTCCACCCCTCAAACAAATTCCTGCCTCCACCCCTGGTGATGGTGTGTGTTTCTCTATTCGTATGGCTTTCCACTTCAACTTCTTCGTCTCTTGCACAGGAAATCCCTATCTTGATCTATATTTATATGTATATATATATATATATATGGTTGTGTGTATATATTTGTATTGTTTTTTTTTGTTTGCATCGTTATATTGGACTATATAAACTGTAGATTTTGAAAAGGGTAATTGGGTGTTATTACATGTCAGTTTCGTTTGGGCGTTTCTTTGTTATCGTTGAATCTAAGCAAATCGAGGATTAATTTATAATTGTGTATATGCATGTGACTTAGTCTCTCAGTTGTAATTGATGTGTTAATTGACTTTTGAAATTGCTGAACCCTATTAGTACGGATATGGAATTGCATGTGTATTTTTATGTAGAATTTGAAATGGGTAATTGGGTGCTATTACATATCAATCAAGTTTTGGGGTTTCTTTGTTATCATTGAGGATTAGCTTATGTTTATGAATCTGACTTGGTGTCTTTCAATTGTAATTATGTTATAATTGACTTTTGAAATTTCTGAACCCTATTACTATGGATATGAAATTGTATTAGTACGTATGTTTATGTATACAACTTGTGTTGTTTGCTAATGAAATGAGGAAAGGAATTGAGAGTTATGAATATGGAATTTTATGCTTTACCTCTCTTTTTATCATGGGTTCAAAATTTTTTTAATTTGTTATTTATTTATTTTTTCACGGGCAAACAACTCCCATAATGCAATTGGAGAGGTGTGAATATGACCTTGACATAGCTAAATAGTTCAATCAAGTTAATAATAATAATAATTTTTTTTTTTTACTTTAAAAATTGTAATCTTACATTTTGGTGTGGATTTCAATCAAGCAAGCTGGCAATTGTTGTTTATCAGTCTATTATCTTAATTATAATTTCTTTGGCTACTTACTTGGTCACACCCACTGGGTGATCGAATAGCTTGACCTCAAATTGGCTTGTAGTGCTCATATGGTATTTGAAGATTATAGTCTCCATCCTGTTATTCTTGTCAGAAACGTTTTACTGTATAGCAATATGTTTCATTCAGCTCTATTTATCTTTCTCACATCTGCTGGACCTTCGTTCTACAAATTTCACATTCTTATTCATGTGCCTATATGTTTGAATTCTTTTGAATATGCATGTATATTCAACTTATAATATCAACTCCTCCCAAATATGACTTTGTTTTCTTTTGTTTTGTTTTTTCTGTTTTCTTTATTGTGCTACAGAACACTGATCTTCCTCCAGCTTCAAGATAACTTTCTATCACCAGATTAGGCTAAAAGCTAAAATCTTATCATTTTTTAGAATTGTGGCTTTTACAAATGAAAATATAAAATTATTGAGGTTTTATTTAGTAGCTGATATGTTTGTTGTGGTGCTATTTCTTATATATATTTTTTCTTCAAATAATCTAAATTTTATTTTGATGACTAGAAATCTTAAGCAAGAACATGAGCATGCCCCTGAAGTACATTGTTCAAGGGAAAGAAGTAGGGAAGCTTCGAAAATTATCGAGGAGGTGGCATGCAAAATATGTTGTGTGGATGTATAGTGCACTGCTTCGATTAACATTTAAGATTATGACATTTACATGTATTGTGCAGTATTTAATGCCATTTGTGGAACAAGAAAAGTATCAGATCCCAAGTAAGTGTAGACTCCATCCTGACAACGATATCTTTAGGGATCAGGAGCTGCACAAGATTCATGTGGATATAAATGAATGGCGCTGCGGATACTGTAAGAAAATCTTCCGAGCAGAGAAATATCTTGATCAACATTATGACAACAGACATCACAATCTTCTGAATGTTGTATGTCAATCGTGTTACCTTGTTCCTTTTTGATAATATAATTTACCGTCTATGTTTGGCTGCAGTTTTTCAAAATTGTTGTGCTATAGGGAGCACTAAATTACCTTTACTATTGATCCATTGTTCGTGATGCTTGTTGTCATTGATGCAGATGCTTCTGTCGTTTATGTAATTATCTGGCTTAGTTAACTGATCCCGTGTCTTTGTTATTCTTTGACTCATGTTTTTATATTTAGATGTCATAACTTAATTTTCTGAAACATGTTATGATATAGTACTATGTGTAGATGGCCAAAACCAAAAAGAAGCATTATAGCTTGGCATAACGAATCTTTTGATCTATTACTTTTTTTTTTTTTTCTTTATTTGCTAGCAACTAGTGGACTTCTGTCCATGGCATTTAGGTTGAGAATCAAACAGATACGATCTGACCTTCCTGGCCCGTAGTCTGTTGATGTATAACTTGATTTGAAAACATGAGGTGACTTCTACCATCTCTTTGGTTACTATAACACATAATGTTTTGTGTCCGTCTTGTTATCTGGTTGATTTAGCGAGCTCATACTGAATTGACCAAATAAAAGAAGGGCAGAAAAAAGAGATTTGCTTTCTCAGGCTTGTTATAATTTATGTTATTGTGAACAAAAAATGTAAAATCATTATAATTTCGACACAACAGAAGATTTTAATCGTTGTTTATTATTCTACTAGAAAGTGTTATATAGGAAGGTGAGATAAAGTCTTTTTTCCTGAAGAATATATTTCGTCATCATTTTAGAATTTTAGGAAGAGAGGAGATATTGGTACCTAGTACTTACTACAAACTCTGAGAAGAGAGAAAAAAACTTAAATGGCCTAGTTCCTGTTTGATAAGTCACGTTGAGACTCTCATTGTTTGTATATATTGTACATGGTATTTTTTTTTTCAGCGCATGATGCTTCTTGTAAGGGAGAAAAAGATTGATAATCTTTGAGTACTCGATATATCCTTCTAACATGCAATTTTGTATTGCTTTTAAGGTTTTTTGGGCCTTTTAAGGATTTATCTTCCAGATTGGTTAGTCTCAGAATATGATTTATATGACAAATTTCAATGAATGCAGAGTCAGAGCAAGTGCTTGGCAGATTTATGTGGGGCTTTGCATTGTGACCTCGTGGTGGATATAACTTCAAAACCTCGTAAAACCAGATGCAACCCTGCAGCGGCTAAAAGGAACCTCCACTTGTGTGAGGTTGTTTTTGACAAAAATACCTTTTTTATTTTTATTTATTTTTTATCATACTGTTTTTCCTTGTTCATAACCATTGTATTCTGTGCAGAGTCTCGCAGATAGTTGTTTTCCTTCTAATCAGGGTCCCTCAGCAAATCGTCTTCATGGTACTCTTTTATGTTTTAAAAAATTCATGTTATTCCTTTCCTTCTTCTGGTTACTTACAGAGATCTTTTGATGATTTTACCATAGAATTGTTCTTGCACCAATTCTGTGATGCTCATACGTGCTCAGGAAAGCGAAATCCCTTCTCCAGAGGAGGCAGGGTAAGGCTTTAATCCTTGATGTTTTTGGTGAAGTTTGAAATTATTATCAAGAAAACTGACGAAATAAATTTCATGAATGAGTATAGTTGTCTGTGTAAATGTTATGCTCCTGAAAGGTGTATAATGTGTCTTGTTAGAAGCTCTAAGAGCAAAACTCTCCCTGATTGAGTGCACTTAGACATTAATTTAAATGCTAAATTCTCCTTTTGGCAATCAGAAATTGTCCTAGAAAGCATTTTCATTAAATGTGTACCGGGCACCTGAGTTTTATTGGCTGCCAAATGGAGGACTTCGCACTTCTGGTATGCCAAAAATTCCACGTTTTGTCTATTTTGAATCCTCTCCGTTCTAAAATTAATTTAGGATTCATTTATTTATTATTCTTTTCTTTGTTTGTGTTTCTGCTGATGCAATTTTGTTGAATTGTTTCTGTGCAGAAGCATACAAGCACTTTCTACTTGGCTATTTCAGTATTAACCTTGATGCTGCTACCTATCTTCTATCTTATTGTTTATTTATACCAAAGGTGCCATTTCTAGTCTTTTAAATGAATGTATTTTATCAAACTTTTGCAGTACATTCATGGTGCTTCTTGTTGGATTTTGCAGGGAAATGAGAAAGGGAACCCAAGAGCTGAAGCGCATCTCACAAATTGGACGAAAAACAAACCCCTCTTAGTGGGTAAATTTTGAAACAAATAATGCTACTATTTGTGCTTTGTGTTGCGTAGTTATTTAGACTGATGTGGGATCCACCAGCTAATGCAATGGTGTAAAAGTAGTTAGTCTAATAATTAGTTGAACCATATGGTTGTTGAGTGACATGAATAGTTTTCTTAATTTGTTCTGTCATTTAATTATTTATCTAACTGCAGTAACCCTGAGTAAGATTTCAACTCAAATAAATTCAATATGTTGAATCTCCATTCTTTTTTGTGTATAGGTCTACGTTTTTGGAACCATTAACGAGGACAACAACGAGGGGTAATGACAAAATCATTCATTGTGAAGACTAATGTCTCAATCTGACGTCATGGATCCCCTCACCAAATTGCGTTTGTCAATGGAAGCCTCAGGTCAGCAGATTCGCTTGGTAAACTTGCTCCATTTATTAGTGATGTAGCATTCCTGCATCCCAACATTATGGCATTTATTGTATACTGAATTTAAGACAATACAGGTATATTTTTCTGATGAATACGATTTTTTGTAGTTATGATATAGCCCTTTTGTCTTTGAACTCGATAGTTGAATTGGTTGAATTGACTTGGCTCTAGAATGTATTGGTATAGATGCAGATAATTTTTAGGGATAGTTACTATGCCATCCTTTTTATTACTTTTCTGGTACATCATCTATTCTTATGTTCTAATTAGTTGTTATATTGAAAAGAACCATTTCTTCACAAATCTCACACAACCATTTCATGCATGAACAGGAAGGTTTTTACTTTTTCACCATGTGATGCTTCCTGATGATAGGTTAATTAGCAAGTCCCAGTAATCTTACCATTTGGAAAATGCCTAAACAGTTTTGTAAAACCACGTCAGTCAAACATCAATACAGGTCTCTTCTACAGCAAATAGCAATCCTTATTAGAGGGCTATTTGAAAAAACCAAAACCCTCCTGTACTATACAAGTTTTTGCAACTTACCCCCCTGCATTGCAATTTTCCCCCCTCAACTATTGAAAATGTCGCAGGATACGCCCCTCGAGTGGGGGCAAATGGCAACATCTTTTCAGTAGCTTAAGCACAAATTTTTATTTAGCTTGGCATTCTAATTTTCGAAGATTTGTTTATTGATCCATTTGCTAGATGCTAACATTAACAATCTTAATCGTGCACTACAGTTTCATCTTTGATTCTTCTTCGGAAATGCTTTCACGCAGGATTGCAGCTCACATGTGACCCCAAATGCAAGGAATATCAACTAACTGTAGAGCTGAAATTATATGGCCTTATTTTGCTCCTGTGATTTTTCCCAACAAATCACATACCTGACTTTTTCCTATATGGGGCGTTTAAGCCTCGTAAAGAAAGAACAAGAGAGTTGCCAAATGTTCCTCCAAAGGACTTTCGAGTCCCAAGTCCTTGCAGTTCTCAGAGAGAGCATCACAATATTCCAAGGACATTTTCTAGGCATCTACATGATTATTGTTGCATCTATAAGCCACCTCCTGCCTCCAAATTCTGGACATAGTTCGGCCTTGAAGTCCTGTCTACATCGACATAGGCTGACCCACTCCACAAAGCCATAGAAAGGTCTGTACTTTATGTGTCTGTAGTTGTGCTTGCACTCAAAACCATTTTTATAGCTGATCTCATAAATGGTCACAAGGGCATTAGAAAGCATGGTTGAATCCATTATATGGATTATGGCTGATGTGTCTTAGAGGGCAGAGGCAGAGGAAACTCCCCCGGTATCTGTAAACACTCCAATGTCAATTTTGAACCGAAACACAAACCCTCTCTCCGTGCCTTCATCTAGTGGTTCACTAACTGTAGTTTGCTTGAAGTATACCGAACTTGCTGCTTTGATCACCTTGCAAATCATAAACCAATACATGGACAGTTCGTGCTTCAATACTGCTCCTTAAACTGTCTTCCTAACATTTCTGGTGGTTGGTGAGGGAGAGAGATATGAGGTCCATTCTTCAATGCTCATTTCACATAACCAACATTCTCATAGTAAATTCTAATTGGGTTGGTGTGATATCATGGTAGAGGAATTCGATGTAACTAAAGATTCGTGGGTCGTTGGTTTGGCTTGAAGACAAGTCGAGAGCGGTGTTTTGGAAGGTCTCATTAGGTGCAGAGAGGGAGGTAGACAGGCTGAAGTTGGAGGGAGTTTCTACAAGTGTTCTATTTGATAGAGTGGGAGTGTGTTTCGAAATACATGCTTTTTTTCTTTTTCTTCTGGCTCAAACAAAACCCTATACTACGATACAGGTCAGATTAACTCTATAACATGGATCACAAAACAATGTTGCATATCACATTATTCTTCTTATGCATTTTGCCATGTTAAGGACATTCGAGCTTGTAGCCCAATTTCCTATGGCAATGACAGGTTCCTACAACATAAAATAACAGCTATTGTCCTTGAGCTACGCTCCGTAGAAGCAATCTGCTCCGACTCCTCAGTCAGAAATGTACCATATAATTCTGTGAGGATCAACTAGAGGAGAAAATGGCAGATTCCTGGCTTTGATGAAGCGAAGTTCATGTTCTTTTTTTTTTTTGAAAGATGAGTTCATGTTCATTTGATAAATACATGGTGTTGCAGAAATGCAGACAAACAGGACACCTTAATGACAGAAGAAAAAAGAAGAAAAAGAAAAAAAGAAGGTATGACATTGATAGAATTTCATTTATGAACATAAAAGTTATACAATATTCTTATTACACAGGAAGCCAATGATCAATTACAACTGCAAATGAAAAGTAAAATGATGACTTCTGGAGTTTTCCAAATGAAATAAAATTCCCATGCTGAGAGCTATATTTTAACGACTTACTCTCTCTACATTCTTGGTATAGCTTAAAAGCTACATGTTCAAGAATTAAAGCTGATAAGAGTGCACTATGGACACCAAGAGAGCAAATTTCAGTTACATGCAAGCACAAAAAATGGTGAAAACCCTAACTACTAAGTATTCACCATACATTCGTATCATACAAATAAATAAATAAAGGAAACAGAAAATCCAGAAGAGGGGAGCTTTTGTATCACTTGATTCAACTTCTAAATTGGAAAGTATTCACCTTCAAGAGAGTGCCTATTGTGTTACTTCCAAATGCTCTCCCGCAGGCACATTGTTGCCCAACTCAAACTGGCCTAAAAGCTCTCTAACCAGTAACCACCAATATGCATATATATATATATATGTGTGTGTGTGTGTGAGAGAGAGAGAGAGAGAGAGAGGGGGGGGGGATATTGTGGTCCGAATTTGATGCTAGGTCGTAATGTTGGGGTCTGGGGTAGGGCTGCAACTTGTGCGGGCCAACCCAGCCCGACCCAACCCCAACCCATAAATTTTGAAATTTGGACATACAATTCACAAATCGGGCTCATGTTCGGGTTGGGTTTTGTCAAAACCCAAATATATTCGGGTTGGGCTCGAGCTCAACCCGAACCCAACCCAAAACCGGAAATTAAATTTTTTTTTTTTTTTTTTCTCCTTTCTCTCTCCTCTCTCTTCCTCTCTTCTTTCTCTCTCTACCGCTGTCCTTCGCCGCTGAACCGCCGCCGTCGTCCCTCGCCCTCAGCCGATAATCCGCCGCCGCCGCCGCCGTCACTTCCAAAAATTAAAACAAAACCCATACATACAAGTTATGCCGATATGGGTTTTGAACTGTTGATTCTTGCAGACCAATCATTGTTCTGAGATTATCCGCCCTGCAACAATCAGGGCTGAAGCTAGACGATTAATCATCAAAATTTTAGATTTGAGCCGTGTATCAGCAGATCTTTGATCGAATGGAAAAATAATTGTCATGCTCAATGAAAAAACTGTTTTACAATCATTGAGAGCATACATGTGTTACACGTCTATGCGGATTTACTTGAAAAAGGTTGGTCTTGACTGCTCCTACTCTAAAAAGCTTGATCCCATTCAAAATCAGATCTTAAATATATGGGTTTTGAACTTTTGATTCTGGTAGATTTTGCAGTTTGCAGTTGGGGGAGAGAGAGAGAGAGAGAGAGTTGAGAATGCGACCTGGTGGGAGGGCTGAAATGATTTGCCCTAAAACTTTTTTGTTTTTTTAATAATAATATAATCAAATATATATATTATATATATATATATAATATAATATATAAATTTTCAAAAAAAAAAAATATTTTTTAATATATATTTTTAAAAAACACAACCCGTAAACCCGACCCGACCGGCCCGAAAATACTCGGGCTGGGTTTTAACCATAACCCATGTTGAATACAATTCGGGTTAGCCCAACCCAACCCGATTCGGGTTGAGGTTGGGTTGGGACTGGGCTGGGTTGGGCCGGCCCAACTTGCAGCCCTAGTCTGGGGCTTGTCTCCAAGGAAAATTTTTGACTTGTTGCTTGCTCGTGGGTCGTGGATCTTAATTAGTCTCTTATAACTCGATATATAAGTGCACTTAAGATTTAAAGTGGTGAACAAGTGATATTCGTACAGAAAAATATAACTCGATATACAAGTGCACTTAAGATTTGGAGTGGTGAACAAGTGATATTCGTACAGAAAAAGAGTAGAGTAATGGACTGAAAACTTGTAATTTCCGATTTTACACATAGTGAAAACTTTCGCTGAATTCCAACCGTGGACGTAAGCTATTACCGAACCACATATAAATCTTTGTCTTCTTTGTGTGCGTGTTTAATTTTTTTTTAGCCGAAACAGACTTTAGGTGTTATGTTTCGATTTTCTATTACTTTACCAAACATTTTTGATTTTGATTTATGATAACAAAACGTCTCGTACTTTATAAAACATCTTTTAAAAAAAAAAAAAAAAATACAGCATTGCTTGTTGAAAAATATTTAGGTCCGGGTACACCGTCCTCGCTGCTAAATACATATTTACTTACCGGATCAAAATAAATATGGAGTCAAAATAAATAAAATACATATTTACTTGCCAGATCAAAATAAATATGGTGTCCGTGATTTGATAATTAATAAAAATGTGTCTCTTTATTATCCGTTCACGTCAACCGGTGTGGAGCTGGGCATGGTGGTAATACTTAATAGTACATGCTAAGGTAAGTCCGTAAGGGTCCCAATATGGGTAACTTTGGATCGGGCAATCGGAAAGAGTGCCAGTATGGGTAACTTGATCCATTACACAGGTTCCAGTGTGGTAGCCTTCAAAACGGCGGCGCCGACAACGTTCACGACTCCCCCGACGACACGGATCACGGCGTTGCCGCAGACGGCTATGCATCGGAGGATTTTGTCCCTGGTTCTTCGTCCAGCAGAGAAAGAAAGAAAGGTTCGATTTTTTCAACCATATATATATATAAAATATAGTCTGTGTTTATTTGGGTATTTAATGTTCTATTTGTAAGTGTGGATGGTTGTGCTTGATTGTTATTTTGTAAAGAATCAAGTTTTGAATTTCATATAAGTCATAACTTTCAATGTGGTTTGAGAAATTGGGCGACCGCTAATGAAAATTTGAATTTTGATTTTATGATCTAATTCTTGTAGTCCCCAAAATCAGTAGCTCAACAAAATTAGAAAGTTGTAC